AGTGGGTATCACGAATTGTCTTCCAGGGGGCACTAGCAGAAGGAAGGAACATATATGACCGGCCAATCGAAGTCTCCATCGAGTTGATCAGCCATGACATGACAATGAAATTCTCCGCTTTTCAAGCTCCATATGTCGGGTTAGTTTTTGGCGGTTCACGAATCATGCTAGTGAGATGACCGAATTTCTCACGCCTTTTGATAAACAACAATGCAACTTTTGACCATTTGAGAAAATTACTGTCTTTTAGTTTTGGGTTGTGATCAAGAAGCTCATGTTGTTTTTCTGTCCTTCGGTTTGCAGAAGAACAAAGGTTGGAGTTGATCCTCTGGTGGACTTAAGAACTTCTTTTGATGATAGCAAGTGCTGGTGGTGTCCGCAAGATTTCGATTGAGCCAAACGAGTTGTTAAGACATCGAAAGGTTCCGACTGACGGATGGCCTCAAGAAGATGTTCCATCTGGACTAAATCCTCTGGCCGGCTGCAAGAAGGCTCTGGTGGTTAGAACAGAGGTTTTTGGAGGAGCTTCGTCAAACCTTGAGGGAGAGTAGACTCTTAGGCAAGGGATTCAGCAGCTGGGAGGTGGCCCTCCTTGTTAGTTAGAACAAAGGAACTTGAATTGCATCTGGCATGCTGGACTGTAACCTAGCGCCTGAAAAGAGGACCTATCCTGCTCCGGAGCTCCTCGAAAAAGACCAAGCCAACTCAAGAGGGAAGAAACGATGCCCGGATTGGCCAGCCTGCGGCAAGGAGAGGCCCGACAGTAGCTAGGTTAGGACCATGACTCTGATACCATGTTAGAATAGAACCAAGGTAATTCTTATTGATACAAAAAGTTGTTTACATACCCATTATAGGTTCTACAAGCAAAAAAAGAAATAAAAACAAGATACAGTAGAAAAAGGAAAGGAATAATAAAGAATCAAAGCTAATAACTCAAAATAAAGAGGAATTAGTAATGGCTATTACTAGTCATTAATATATATTCTAATAATAATATTTGAAATAATATCCATAGATTATACTGCACACAAATAAAAAAACTATATATATTTTTTTTAATTTAAATGATATAAATTCCTAAAATTCCCTCATTTTTAAGATCATATATTAATTTTAACGTCAATTTTTGTTTCTTATATTATCAGGATATTTTAGCTCATATCTTAGTAATCTATGGATTAATTGAACCTTTTATGTAGCTTGAGACAAAAATAGGCTGTTAAAAATAGGTGGGAGGGCATCTTGATCATTTTCTCACCCCTGTAGGAAGTAGTTTATTTTTAATTATTTGTAGTAGTTTGATGTTCATATAAAAAAATTCAGATCTGTAGGAAGTAGTTAACTTTTGCAGGTGCTACAATTTGGCATCAATGTACTTGACTTGATTAATATGCATATATAGATTAGTAACCTTTTTAAAAGATTAAGCTAAATGACTTAAATATTATTTTTAATTAATTATGCTTCTTTATCATTGATCATACATATGGAGTTAAATTTTAGGCTTGTTTTCAGGTGTTCATCATTAAGAAATTTTCTTATATTTTAGCTCATCATAATTCTCTCAAACAAGTAATTTTTATGAATTCTTATGTCGTTAAGGCAAGATTAATAAACAAAGTCAGCATCACTTCAATAATTTATGATTGGAATAATATATATTATTGATTCATGAATAACCATCTTTACAGATTGCTCGATTAATTTGACTTCTACAGTACTTGTGATTCCTTCAGTTTTCTTGACAAACACTTGACCGAATAAACATACAAACATTTAACCAAATTTTTTGGAATTCAAGTTCATATGTTATCTCATGATTTGTTTTACTTGTAAACTTTAATTTTGACTCTCAATTTAGTTGTTGAACTTATAAATCTTGCATAGTATTTACCTTGTTTATAATCTATAAATTCCAAATGAGAAATATTGGTCTTTGAAGTCTATTTTTCACATAAGCCCGTTGCAATTGTTGGCAACATTTTACTAAAATGATTGTGCATGCCTTGCTAGTTTTGATTTGCACATTTAACTATTTGTAAATCATACATATTATATTTTCTTACGGAAATATTCTATTTTATTGATTTAATTTAAAGATTGCCCAAAATTGTACCTCTCATCAAATAAGCAATGTGGCTATTTATACTTCAACTTACTTTGTCCTATTTAAACTACATTATTTGGATGTAATCATAAGCTCTGATACTATCTGATGGAGGATGATTTTGGGTCTGCGATTTTTCAGTGCTACTAGAATGGTGCAATGCATGTTGATCATGTAAAGAACTTAAGATTCACTTATCAAAGATCACTAAACATTTAAAACTCAAACATTAATGTAATAAATGATTAAATTCAAAGAAATTAAAAAAAAAATAATAATAACACAAAATTAGTGCACATTTGTAAATTATTTACCACAGCTAGAAACTCACTTGTGTAAAATTTAATTAAAATCATGAATTCTAGCAAAACCAATCGCAAAATATATAGAATTAATGTTAACAAATGAATCCACCAAAAAAGTTTAGATCTCATATCAAATTCAAACTCGATTTTATCAATATTTCACCTTACCTAATAATCTCACAAGTTTGTGTTGTTTCTCTTATTTCAGGTCGGTCGCTCGGGAAGGTTTGGTCACCTCGGTTTAGCAGTCAATTTGATCACATACGAGGACCGTTTCAATCTGTATGTTAACTTTGCCTTCATACTTTGTTTCACTTCGTGTTGGCTCCTACGTTTTTTATTTCACTCTATCTTTGTGGCTTATGACAGTTACAGGATTGAACAAGAGCTTGGAACGGAAATCAAGCAGATTCCTCCTCAAATTGATCAGGCTATTTATTGCAAGTGATTTAGGACGGGTTGTGTTTCGTCTGCAAATAAAACAGAAGAACTATGTTGAATTCCAAACTTCAGGTAAGTTTGTAAATCATAATTATATCCATGTTCCCCTTTAAATGTACGTTTAGTGCTGTAAATGAATCAAGTTTGGTTGAGTACTATTTTGTTCAAGCTCGTTCATTTAGGCTTTTACTATTAAATCGAGGGGAGCTTGAACACGACCACATCTTTAAAAAGTTGAAGTTTGTCTATTAATTTTGGAAGAGTTACATTCATGCCACTCAATTCTTATGTACTTGCATATCTAACACCTAAACTTCTTTTTTTACATACATCCCGCCCTACCTATGCATGAA